CGCGTCGGGCTCTGGGCTGACGGCTCAGAGCCTGGAGCCTGTTTCCGATTCTGTGTCTCCCTCTCTCTCTGCCCCTCCCCCGTTCATGCTCTGTCTCTCTCTGTCCCAAAAATAAATAAACGTTGAAAAAAAAAAATTTAAAAGAGGGATAAATTTGAACTCTTGGTTTAATTTTTTTTAATGCTTATTTATTTATTTATTTGAGAGAGAGAGAGAGAGACAAAGCATGAGCAGAGGAGGAGCAGAGAGAGAGTGAGACACAGAATGTGAAGCAGGCTTGAGGCTCTGAGCTGCCAGCACAGAGCCCGACATGGGGCTCAAACCCACCAGCCACGAGATCGTGACCTGAGCCAATGTCAGACACTTAACCGACTGAGCCCCCTGGGCGTCCCTTGAACTCTTCATTTAAATTAGAACTTGAGCCCAGTCGTAGGTATTATTTTATTTAGTGCATGTAGGAGAACAGGGATGTACCATTAATCCCCTTCTGACTTTCTGCCTTAAAAAAGAAATTCACAAACATGTTAGGAAATATTCATTTAAGTATTAAGACAATCATTAAAGACAATTACAAAGTTTAGGAGGTACAGCTTACTTTATAGGACTGTATTTCTGTCTCTAAAGTCTTCAAGTCTTACAAGACTACTTTGTTTAAAATTACAATCTGTAAAGATAGTTTTATAAAAATTGAAACCATGTATTTTTCTGCAGATAAAAGATATTTTTTCTTTATATTGTTTAGACTGGTCCAGCACTGAAAAGGTCCTATAGTTTCTAGACGAATTCTGGATTTCCACTAGTTCCAAGAGAGAAGAGAGAATGAGGGAAGGAAGTCCTGAGAGGCCCCAAACCTGAAGTATGGAGAGGAGATTGGCAGAAGGGGACTATTAACAAATGGAACATGGGGGATGGTGTGGTTCACTGCTGCAAGCTGGAGAAAAGCTCATTAACACAGAGAAAGTTACCCCATGTCCTGCTCTTTACTTTTTTCTCTTTTTTTGTTTTTGGTTTTGAGATTCTTGTGCTAGGTTTAAGTACGGTGGAAAAAAAAAAAACAAAACACCTACAAATGAGAGAGAATATTTGCAAATCATATAATTGATGAAGGATTTGTATTCAGAACATATAAAGAAGTCTTACAATTCAACAGTAAATAGATTAATAACTCAATTTACAAAATGGGCAAAGGATTTGAGTAGACATTTCTCCAAAGAACATCTCCAAATTAATAATAAGCACATAAAAGATGCTCAGCATCCTTAGCCATCAAGGAAATGCAAATCAAAACCATGGTGAGATAATACTTCACACCCTTTGGGATGGCCATAAACAAAAAGACAGACAATAACCAATGTTAATGAGGATGTGGAGAAACTGGAATTCTCGTACATTGTTGCTGGGAATGTAAAATGGTACAGCCACATTGGAAAGCAGAGTAGCAGTTCCTCAAAATGTTGAACATGGGGTTATTTTATGACCCTGCCTAGGTATGTACTCAAGAGAAATGAAAACATACACCCACACAAAAACTTGGACACAAAGCTTCACAGCATTATTCACAATAGCCAGAAAATGGTAGCAGTCCAAATGTCTGTCCAACTCATGAGTGGATAAATAAAATGTGGTCTGTCTATACACTGGAATATCATTCAGCAGTAAAAGAAGTACTAATACATGCTACAACATGGATGAACCTTGAAAACATGCTGAGCAAAAGAAGCCAGACATAAAAGTCCGCATGTATGATTCCATCGACTTGAGATGTCTAAAATAGGTGAGTCCATAGAAACAGGAAGTAGATTAGTGTTGCCAGGTGCTAGGGGCGGGTAAGCAGGGAGTGACTGCTAATGGATATAGGGTCTCTTTGGGGGTGATGAAAATATTCTGAAAGTAGGTAGTGGTGATGGTTTCTCAACTCTGAATATACTTAAAGACTGCTGAATTGTACAATTTAAAAGGGTGAGTTTAATGCTGTGTGAATTATATCTCAATAAAACTTATTTTTAAAAAATAAATCCTTCAAGGTGCATCTCAGTATTTCGTCCTTTATATAACTTTTTTCTTAAATCTGTCTTTGATTTCTTTTCTTACACACCCTAACACTCTGACCACCTTTAATAGGAGACATAATAATCTGCTCATATAGGAAAATTATCAGTACGTCTTATTTCCCTACCCTCCTCATTAATTGCAGACTCCTTCAGGGTACTTTTAGTATTCTATTTAGTGCAGTGCCTCATACACAGTAAGTACTTGGTGACATATTTGTTAAAGTCTAGATTGGGAGGAACAGTTTAATAAAAGAGCTATAATACCTGTCTAAGGAGGTGTGAGTGAGGTCAAGGAAGATTTCTAAGTGGATTTTTGAGGAAAGTCTTTATTCTAGGTTGAGCAGGCGCTTGGCATTGGTAACAAGGACTGACATTACCCTGAAAGGAGGCAATACGTACAACAGCACAGACTGCTGCTCTTTCAATCTCGTATGCACCTGTAACATGACATTACTTCACATTAGCAGTCTTAACCATTAAAGTCAGTTATGATCACGATTACTGTTTAGAAAACATTTTTGTGAGGTTAGCAGCTCTTAAATAGTGATTCAGAAAAATCTCATTTTGCTGTTTGGTTGAGATTGATATTTTTAAAAACTCATTTTTATTTTTTTGCCTCCCTTTAGGATAGCTTTAGATGACAAGCTCTACCAGCGAGACTTAGAAGTCGCACTTGCTTTATCAGTGAAGGAACTTCCAACAGTCACCACTGATGCGGAAGAGGCTCAAGATAAAAGTAACTTTACTTTCTATATATTTCTTTTTGTAACCTCATTGCTTTTGTAATTGTGTCTCCGGATGAGCCTTCATAGAGGAAACAATAAGAGTTTAATACTTTGGGTAGCAAATGGAGCAACTGGCATAATTAGATTCCGTGCTTTATTCTGCATGAATGTCGTTCATGCACACACATCTCTCTGCTTAACACCTGATGCCAACTCTGGACTAAGTCATGGACTATGAGCTTGGATGCAAGTCACTTTTGTTTACAGTGGAAATTTAATTTCTTAAGCAAATGAATTGGTCTATACAGTCCTAATAACCCATCTCTTTTCTCTCAAAATTCAAATTAGTTAAACATGATCTGGTGAGGGTAATTTTTATTATTTATGAAGGCTGAAGGTACTAGTTTGGTTAGCAGGCTCAGTGGACTTACAAGATGTAGGACTTCTGGATTTCTCTGGGTTTTCCTCCTTCGATTTTTCTAGCAACTGTGTAGCAGATGGCAATATTGATACTCTGGAGAGGCAGAAATCATTATTCTTGGAAAAGACATTCAAACTGTTAGCATGCTTTTTGGATGAAATTGTTTTGACTTAGCTTCTTTTATGTTGGAGGATATTTTTAACTCATTAGCTCATTTAGGGGTATAGATGTTTCAGTCATTATTGCCTCCTATTTGACAGTAAATAAAACACTGTTGATTGATTAGGGAGCCATTTACTAATCAGGAAATCAAAGAAACAGAATTATCTTATATCCAAAACTGAGAAAATGGAACTCATCTCTCTCCTGTAAGAGCTGGTAGAATATATAGCAGGATTTCCTTGGAAGTACCACTTCTCATAGATTAATATACTTTATAGCACTGGGATTTAATAGTACAGTTACCATGACTCAAAGTCCTCTTGAAATACTTTAGATCATTTTAACGTTATTATAATGATTGAAAAGTCTTTGTTAGTAAAAGCATGTATCTATTACACAGAAATGATAGTTAGTATTTATTGACTGTTTCCTATGTGCTGGGCGCTACAGTAAGCAATTTCTACATGTGACCCACTTTGATCCCCCACAATACACCTAATTAGTCCACGCTCTATTTTTTCTCTCCACAATATAGATGAGGACATTAAGTCTTAGGATAAGCCATATTCCCATACTCATGTAGCCAGTTGGAGGGGTAGAGCCTGAATTTCAACTTAAGTCTAAGTGTGTTTGATTTCAGAGCCCAACTCCTAAACCGTATGCTGACCTTTCCAAGGTAAGTCATACTAGCTTGAGCTTGGATCATGCATCTGTATCCGAATGCTTTTACATTTGAACACCAGTTTTCCTATTTCTACCCATTGACTAAGGTGCATCTGTATCTTTTTCCTTCTTCCTTATCTTTAGGCATTGAAAAGTGTGACAGTCGTGGAAGTGAAACAATGAGTAAGGCCCCTCATATCTCCAATTGCAGTGTAGCCAGTGATTATTTAGGTAAGCTTTGATATTAATAATAATACTAATTTTTTCTATCAACAAGCTATTTTTCTAACTTCTATTTCAATACCTGACACTGTAGCTAGAACCAAGATATTTAAATTTGTCAAGGTTCTCTTCACCTCCTCTCCTTTGTTTCTTTGTGTTTTAGTCTTTTTCTCTTTTACTGCAGACCAATTTTCCTTTTCTTCCCTGGTGGAAGGTCATGACTACCTGTGGCTTCTAGTTGATAGCTGTTGACCACTGAACAAAGGGGCTGCATCTTCCCTGCTCCACTTTTCAGATTTCTTGGGGAAAGCCTCCTCAGTTGGGTCTCACACTTATCCTTAAACTGGACTCTGTTGTCAGGATACTGACGTTTATCATGGTTGTGCCAGATTGGACTATGTGATCTATTAGAAGCAGCGGAGGAATGAAGCTGGGCAGATAAAAACAACGGATGTGATAGAAGTCTATTTTGCAGTTCTTTCAATATTATCTGTCACAAAAAGTTTTCTGTTGGTTTTTATGCCTCTCCTGAAGATTTGGATAAGATTACTGAGGAAGATGATTTTCCTGGTGTTCAAGGGAAAAGAAAAGCAGCATCAAAGGCTATGGTACAACAGAGGAAGATTCTTCTGGAAGGCAGTGATGGCGATAGTGCTAATGACTCTGAACCAGACTTTGCAACTGGTGAGTTATATCCTACCTCCAAATTAAGCCTATGGAAATTCAGTAAAAAGTTCTTAAAGACCATTAGTGGATGCAAAGCACTGTGCTAAATGTTTGGTATATGCAAACTTGAACTTACAGGACAGTTACATCCAGCTCTGCCATTTGGGGAAAAAGCTTCATGTGGAGGTGACCTTTAAGCTGTACCTTGAAAAATAAGTAGTATTTACACAAACTAAAAGGGTAAAATAGCGTTCCTGACTGATAGAAAAAAGCATCAACAATGGCATAGACAAGCACACATAGAAGAAAGTGATCAGGAAGCCTGGGGCAGAGAATGTTCTAGAAGAGGCTAAGGAGGCAGGCTGGCACTTTCTAAGAAGTGTACACTTCTTTCTATAATACTAGAAATCCATGAAATATCTTGGGGATGAAGTGATATGAAACCTATATTTTTATTTGTGACTTTGTTTTTCAGATTCATTCAGAAATTAGGACAAATGGGAAGCATAGTGACCTGGACAGAGCATCATAATATATTAATTAAAAATTAAAATGAATAAATCCATAAATTTGTGCCAAATCGGATGCTATATTTTGATAGATTTTAACATGCTATTGACAAATGGATTTGTTCATCAACATTTTATAAATATTTGAGCATCTGTTATGTACATTATATTGAAGACACTACAAATATAGCAGTGAACAAAACAGAGCTCCCTTAAGAAGCTTAAAGTTGAGTGAGGGGACACAGACAGTAATGAAATGTAGAATGTATCAAGTGTCATCGTAGAAGAGCTATGTAGAATCCCCAGACGTCTGCCTTTTGAACCAGTACCTGCCCCTTTATATGACCTGGGTCATCCCAAAGCAGACAGTCTAGGGATCTTACTTTGAGAAACACTGATGTAACTGGAGCACCGGAAAGTAGGAGCCACGGAAAGAAAATGCCCTGAAGAAGCATAGTAGAGCATGGACTGAATGTTTCCCAACTTAAGGTTACTTAATACAAAAAAAGCCCAAAATAAGAAAATAACTCCTTGTCAGTTTAATTGTTTCTTCGGGGATATGATTGTAGCACTTCCAGAATGTCAGTATCGTTATTTGACACATGCTTGTCAGAAAAATCAGTCAACAATTTTAAAGTTATAAATTGCAAGTCTACTTAACATGCCAATGAAATTAATTTGTCTTTAATAGTGGTTAAAAGTGTTTGTGTGGAAATGAAATCACTTGCTTTGTTTGCTGGGTTTATGTAATTAATGGGTTATGTTTCTAGAGGTATGATAGAATTTAAAAAGAATAATATTCTCTTATTTGCATTCCAACCTCATATATTCTCTCTCTAATAATTTTATAAAAGTAAGTTTTTATCAAGATTATAATTTGGATAGTGACTTTAAAGTCGCCTCTATGCCTTTGAAAGGAAGTTGTTAAAATCTCCAAAAACACAAATGGCCAAAAAGCATATGAAAAGATGCTCAATATCAGTATCATTAGGGAAATACAAATCAAAATCCCAATGAGGTGTCATCTTACACCCATTAGGATGTCAAAAAACAGAAAATAACTAGTGTGGTAGGGATGTGGAGAAATTAGAACCCTTGTTCACTCTTAGTGGGATTTCCGCCATGGAAAGCAGGGTGGCATCTCCTCAGAACATTAAAAATAGAAGTATCATGTGATCTAGCAATCCCACTTCTGGGTATATATTCAAAAGAATTGAAGCAGGGTCTCAGATATTTGCACACCCATATGTATAGCAGTGTTATTCACAGTAGCTAAGGGGTGAGCAACTCAAGTGCCCATCAACAGTTTAATGGATAAACACCATGTGGTCTATACATACAATAGAATTTCAGCGTTCAAAGGGAAGGAAATCCTATCATGCGCTACAACTTGGGTGAACCGTGAAAACTTTATGCTAAGCAAAATAAGCCAGTCACAAAAGACAAATGGTGGGTGGTTCCACTTATAAGAGGTATCTAAAATAGCCAAATTCATAGAAACAAAATAGAATGGTAGTTAGATGAAAAGAGAAAGGATCATTTGTGACCTTCAGCAGGGAAAGAAAAATGAAAATTGGAGAGAACATAGACTTTTCTTAAGGACATCTAAAGATTCACAGAATCCGTAACCCCATTGTTTGGGCCTTTCAGCTTCACCAATTTGGTATGCTAATGACTTGGAATTCTGGGAGCTCCACTTACCACCACCAGATGATTTAACTGCTTTCTCTGTTGACTGATGATGGTCAGTTGGACCTTACCGTTAGATAAGTTTGATAAGTAGAGTTTAGCCAGTTGCTACCATTTATCCTCTCAGGCCAAGAAAAGAACACATGCACTACCAGAACTGTGGGATACATAGGAAGTTTTGTCCTTCTAGAGTCTATATTATGAAACTTTGGAGAAACTCCACTACTTGCCCTCCCTGAACCTAGGTCCTTTTGGGACTCCAGAAATAATTATTTGATTTTTCTTTTTTCTTTTTTTTTAATCTTTATTTATTTTTGAGACAGAGAGAGAGACAGAGCATGAACGGGGGAGGGTCAGAGAGAGAGAGGAAGACACAGAATCCGAAGCAGGCTCCAGGCTCTGAGCACAGGCTTTGAGCCTCAGTACAGAGCCCGACGTGGGGCTCGAACTCACGGACCGTGAGATCATGACCTGAGCTGAAGTCGGACACTTAACCGACTGAGCCACCCAGGTGCCCCAATTATTTGATTTTTCAAAGTACTATATATAGCAGCCTTCGTGTGGTCTGCTGGCATTATATAACCCAGTAATCATCATGTGAATATGTGGGTTGATTACTCTCATGTGTTTTTAAGTTTTTATTTGTATGGAAAGACAGAATAAGGAAATAGTAATTTGAAGATCATAATGACATTGTTAATTTAGGCAAAGGCCATCAATGGAAAGCTGACGAGGATCTTCACGATGAGAATTCAGGCTGGCAGCAACTGTGCCAACCAAGAGTGGGACAACCATATGTTCTATGCTTTCTGATCTAATAGGAAGTACAGAGCATTCTTATGAAGTACATTCTTACAAAAAAATAACAAGGTGAGCCTGATTCTAATTGGGCCTTGAGAAAATTCCAGCTCACAGAATAAGCAAAACGCCATGAGGAAGAAAGCAGACAACAAATGCAGAATGTCAGAAGTTCTATAGGACAACTGACTTGGTTACTTCAATAGCTCTATTTTAAAGTGATTAAACGGTACCTGGGTGGCTCAGTCAGTTAAGTGTCCGACTCTTGGTCCCAGCTCAAGTCTTGATTTTGGGGTCATGAGTTCAAGGCCCCATGTTGGGGGCTTAAAAAAAAAGTGGTTAATGTGGACTGGATAGAAGATTATACCAAGAAACTATCGTGGATACTGTAAGATATGATAATGACATTGTTGTGTTTTTTTAAAAAAAGCTCATGTTTTCTAGAGATGCAGTGTGAAGTATGTACAATTGTAATGACCTGATGCCTCAGACTTATTTTAACATACTTCCAGAAGAAAAGGAAGAAGATGAGAGAGAGAGAGAGAGAGAGAGAGATGAAACAGATGTAGCAAAGTATTGATGAATATTGAATCTGAGTGCTGTGTTACTGTTTCAGGTTGTGTATGCTTGAAAAAATTTATGGATATTTATTTTTATATAAAATATTTCCTACAGATAGGTAGATATTATATGTGGTGGGCATAACAGTTATCTCTGAGTGGTGAGATTAGGAGATTTTCTTTTGCCTTAATACTTTTTTGTTGTGGTCTACATTTCCTGCAATAAGCATATACTGCTTTTATAATTAAAAAAAAAGTAAAGTTTTTATGAATATAGTACTAATAATCCTTATTTACACTTAGCATTCAGAATTTATTATTTACAAGACATGGTTTTCTGACCCCCTCCCCCACCTTGGCCCTCCCCCACCCAAAATAGAAGAATCGTTGCTTGATTATCAGCTATTCTTTGTGCTTATTCCCAGAGCAGCTGTAGCTCCTTAATCTATTACTTCTCTGGCTTGTAGCATCGCAGTACAGAGAAGGGTTTGTGGGAAATAACAGGTGTGCCCAAATGAAATCATATGTAGGATTCTAAGTTAAGATGTTGTGGTATGGTTAGTCTGTTCTAGATTCCCATTGGGTTTCTATTCTAGAATGTTGAAGTTTCCGTGATTAAGGGAAGGTATAATGTTACTATCACCATCAAGGTCATTGTTTTGAAAGAGTTGGTAACGTTGTACCCTATCATTCTTTCTGAAAGTCACTGAATTAAACTGGAAATATTGGAAGCAAAGATTACTGATGGGAACTATAATGATAATAGTAAGAGCAAACAATTCTGTTTTGCTTGTTGTCTGCCAGATGTCATTCTAAAGGCTTTGCCTCTATTAACTCATTGAATCCACACAGCAACCCTATGATGTAGGTTTTATGGTGATCCTCATTTTATAGATAGAAAACTTAAGCCGAGTGAAGTGAGCGCCCTAGGGTCACACAAAGTGTGAGCCGAGGGGCCAGGATTCAAACCCAGGTGACCTCAGTGACTGCAGTGGCATAGCATAGCAGGAGGCGCACAAGACTCTAGTGCAAAGGCTGTAAATTCAAGGCCATAGAAGCCCATTTTTTGTTTAATTGAAGTAAATTGACAAGCAATGTTGTGTTAGTTTCAGGTATACATGAAAGCCTCACTTTTTAGAACAAAGATCAAGTATATGCAATCCTCTTGTTTTAGGTGAAGAGTCCGAGGATGACTCTGATTTTAGTGAGAGTGAAGATAATGATGAAGACTTCACTGTGAGAAAAAATAAAGTGAAAGAAATTAAAAAGAAAGAAGTGAAGGTCAAATCCCCAGTTGAAAAGAAGGAGAAGAAACCTAAATCCAAATGTAATACTTTGGGTAAGCTTAATCCAAAACACTAACTTTATAAAACATATTTGGTTTATTTGTGTTTTTCTTACCTTTGCCTTTGTTCTCCGTAACATTTTGCCAGTGTTCATTTCTAGCTAAGATATGTAGATGGAAGGAGGGATGGGGAAGGGAGAAAAGCAGACAAGTTCTGCCCACTGTCTACTGCCTACCAGCTCTTACTAGAATTACCCTCCACTAGCACTGATGGCCACCCTCTGAGGTAGCTATTATCACCTGCATTTGATAGTGAGAAAACTGAGGCTCAGACAGGTTAAATAATTTGTAGGAATTCTTACAGCTAATTAAATGAGGAGCTAGAATTTGCACCTAGTTTTGTCCATTTAGAGCCCAAGTTGTAGCCACTGGACCACATTTTTTCCAGGCAGTTAACAGGGAAGTTTACATGATTCTAATTTCTTGCTTTCATGCTAGACTTAGTCTTTGATTTGAGAACCCTTTTGCTATGTGTTTTAGGGCTTTTTTGGTTTTTCTTGAGTTCATAATATATAATAGATTATTATAAACTATAACTTACATTAACTTGATTTTTCTTTACTTATCGATATATATATATTTTTTTTTTAATTTTTTTTTCAACGTTTTTTTATTTATTTTTGGGACAGAGAGAGACAGAGCATGAACGGGCGAGGGGCAGAGAGAGAGGGAGACACAGAATCGGAAACAGGCTCCAGGCTCTGAGCCATCAGCCCAGAGCCCGACGCGGGGCTCGAACTCACGGACCGCGAGATCGTGACCTGGCTGAAGTCGGACGCTTAACCGACTGCGCCACCCAGGCGCCCCTCGATATATATTTTTCTGTCTTCATTGTTTGAAACTAAGATTTCCATTATTCAGACTCCATTTATTGGTGCTGGGAGCTGCTGTCACCTTAACTAGTGTGGTGCTGAGTACTTACTGAGAAATAAGGACTAAATACTGATTCATATTCCTCCCTCTACTGTATTCTGAATTAATAAGGTTTTAATTAGTGTCTTTTTAAATTGACAAATTCATCTGGTTTTCAGAAATTAGGTTTTAAGTGCAGTGAGTTTTAGACATAAAACTGTATATTAGTTTCCAATTGCTGCCATGACAAATAACCACAAACATAGTGGATTAAAACCACAAATTTATAATTTTATAATTGAGGAGGCCACAAGTTCAAAGTGCTTCTCACTGCACTACAATCAAGCTAGTAGCAGGACTGTGTTCCTTTGTGGAGGCTCTGGGGGAAAATTCCTTTTCTTGACTTTTCTGGCATTTAGAGTCTGCCTGTGCCCTTTGACTGGTGGTCCACAGGGGTCCATTTCCACCTTCAAGGCCAGAAAAGGCAGGGACTTTCTCACATCACATCACTGATTCTCTCTCTCTCTCTTTCTCCTGGTTCTCACTTTCATTTATAAGGACCCTTGTGAGTACATTGGGCCATCCAGATAATTCAAGATAGTCTCCCCCTCTCAAGATCCTTAACTTACTGACATCTGCCAAGTCCTTTGCTGTGGAAGGTGACATACACATGTCCTGGGAATTAGGATATAGACATCTTTGAGGGTCCATCCTTCTGCCTACCACAAACTGATATGAAAAAATCATTGACAGTATGAATGTATTTTATATTTTCTTTGGATGCTTGTTTATGCTTCTTCACCAAGACATACTAAAAATTAAGAATAAAATGTTAGTTTACACATTGGAATTTACCATTTCAGGTCTACTGGATTGGAGCAAGTTGTTTCACAAGGAAGCTTAAAATATAATTTTAGTAGTAAAATTTAACTGCCAAATAATGGGGTTATGAATTAGGAAATATGGAATATATTACTAGTCCCACTAGTAACATATGGAATAACCATTGAGAGTCTTTTCATCAGGCACATGTTACAATTTTTCCCTTGATAGAGAAAATTTTTGAGAGCTGTGCTGTCCAATATGATAGCCACTGGCTGTATACAGCTATATTAGACTTAATTAAAATTAAATAAACTTTAAAAGTGAATTCAGGTTTTGCTAACCCCATTTCAAGTGCTTAATAACAACATGTGGCTAGTGGCTATCACACGGATAGCACAGAATTTCCATCACAGCAAAAAAGCTTCTGTTGGACAGTGCTGATCTAGGGAATATAGAGGTTAACATTAAGAAGAGTATATAGTGAAAATGTTCATCTTCAAATACCTTTAGATATCCTGAGGTATATCACAGCAAGCATTATCTCAGAAGTGAATTTATATTCTACCTCTCCTCCCTTCATTTCCAGCACATCCCTCTCTCCCCCTACCCCAGACACCAAAACCTAGTCTCATTCTTGTGTTCATCTCTGGGTAAATGATACCATCCAGCAGTGTGCCCCTGACAGGAACTTGCAAGTTATGATTATTTCTTCATCTCCATCGCTACCTCCCCCCATCTAATTCCTAAAAGATCTCCAACTGCTGTTCTTTCCTTCATGCTCCCTGGGTTCAGGCCTTTATCACCTCCCACCTCTTTATAACCTGAAGAGCCTTCTGGGTGGTCTGCTTGCCATACCCTACCATCAGAAAGATGTGTTCAGAACACAAGTGTTCCCAAGAAAAACCAGTACATGACTGTGACTAGCCAGACACCTTCACTGGTGCACACAGCTCTTCATCAGTGATGTGCATCCTGTCCGTGTCTCTCTCCTTGACCTTCCTGCTCCAGCCATACTGAACCAGAGGCCGGTCCTGGGACCTGCTGCATTCTCCAGCTTTGCATGCTCTACTCCCGCTGCCAGGAAAACTTCCCTCTGACTCATCTTTCCTCTTCAGCCTTGATTTGGCTCAAACTATCCTCAAACAACTTCCTTGTAACTTTTACCCCTATGCAGGTATGCATACAGATTGTAGGTTCCCTCCTGTGTATACCTCTAGACTTTGTCTTATCTCTTATCCCCACTGCATTATACACGTCTTTACTTTTTTCCCCTTTCTACTAGAGTCTAGTGACCAAACCGTAAATTCCTTGGCAGCAGGATCTGTGAGCTCTTTGTAACCCTAGAGCCTAATATATTGTTTCACTGACACATACTGATGAGACGCCATTATATAATGTATGGACTATGGAGCCAGACCTGGCTCCTAATCCTGGCTTAGGGATGCACCAGCTGGCATACTGCAGGCAGACTGCTCAGCCTGTCTGTTTCCTTATCTGGCAGTGGGGCTAGGAATATCGGTATGAGAGCTGCTCTAAGGGTTAAAAGTGATATATATGGCATGCTTACCACACTGCCTGGCATATAAATGCTCATTAAAGATGGCTGTTCTTAGGCTCTCAATAAATGTTTGTGTATAATTAGAGTTTCTCTAATTGATAATCTTGCCTTTTTAATTTTTATGAGATTATGTAACTTTATAATTTTTATACCTACCTGCCAGACTTATCCTTCCTCTGTGAAAACCTTTTTCTATGTATATTTTTTAAAGTGACTTCAGGAGACTCTGCTCCAGCTTCTGTGAAATCAGAACTTCAGCCTTCACCAAAAAAGGTTTCTGGTTCTTCGGAGGTCACTAGGAAACCATTACAAATACGCAGTCCTTTGGCTGAAAACAAAAAACCTAAGTGGGTCCCACCAGGTATGGTATATTTATTGATTAAGGGCAGAGGCTTGGAAAATTATCAGTCAGCTTTTTTTCCTAGTTGCAAATGTTATACCATATTATTATGTATTCTTCAAAACCAAGGTTTTTAGTTGCTGCATTTATTTGTCATTTATCATTCCCTTATACTGAGCATCCAGATTGCTTATTGTTTTTTCAGTGTCATAAATAAGGTTACAAGAAGCACAGACATCCTTATTTTAGAAATCTGTGGGCACATCCTTGATTATTTTCTTAGGATAAATTTCTAGTAGTGGAATTACAGTGTCAAAGAGTGTCCACATTTTAAATTCCTGATATTTATTTTTGGCAACAAGTCTGTTTGCTCAAGATCCATTGATCATAGTCTGACTGAAGCCTCAGGACCTGTACGTGGGACTTCTAGCATTTCACAAATGCCCTAGCAGACTTGACTTCTCTTCCCTTTGTGTTCTTTTGTTCCACAGCCAAGCCTTGCTGATCCTTCAAGAATTCTTTGGCTTTCACCCTTCCTGACATTACCAAAACCCTAGTCCAGGCCCCATTCATTTCATGCCCAAGCTACCTGTGGCTTCATAACTGGACCTGTGTCCACTTCCTAGTCAGTGAAACTGATATAGTTTTTCTTCCTTAAACACAATGTATATCTTCTCTAAGAGCCTCTCTGTATACAGTTTCCTCTGTCTGGTATGTCTCTCCCCCTTTGTCCCCTTTCCTTTTCTAAGTCCTTCCAAATCTACTCAGGTTTGGTTTACTTCTTTTCACTGACATTTCTTTTTTCTTTTTTTTTTTTTGAGAGATTGGGGGAGGGGCAGAGGGAGAAGGAAAGAGAGAATCTTAAGCTGGCTTCACACTCTGCTTGGAGCCCAAGGTGGGGCTCAATCTTATGACTGTGAGATCATATCTGAGCTGAAATCGAGAGTGGGATACTTAAATGACTGAGGCACCCAGGTGCCCCTTACTGACATTTCTTGATTGGTCCATAGTGGTCACTCCCTGATAACTAGATATTAATAGACAGATTTCAGTCTGAGTCAGTATTTTTGTATCCTTTGGGTAAATGCTGATTAAAGGGGCACGTGTACCCCAAGTTTATAGCAGCATTATCAACAATATCCAAGCTATGGAAAGAGCCTAAATGTCCACTGACTGATGAATGAATAAAGAAGATGTGGTGTTCACACACACACAATGGAGTATTACTCAGCCATGAAAAAGAATGAAATCTTGTCATTTGCAGTGATGTGGATGGAGCTAAATGAAATAAATAAGAGAAAGACAAATGCCATAAGATTTTACTCATATGTGGAGTTTAAGGGAAAAAAACGGAGCAAGGCAAATCATAAGAGACTCTTACTATAGAGAAGAAACTGGGGGTTGCTGGAGGGGAGGTGGTGGGTAGGGGGATGGGCTACATGGGTGATGGGCATTAAGGAGGGCACTTGTTGGGATTAGCACTGGGTGTTATATGTAAGTGATGAATCACTAAATTCTACTCCTGAAATTAATATTACACTATATGTTACTTACTAGAATTTAAATAAAAGCTTGAAATATTAAAAAAAAAAAAAGCATTAAAAGGAAAGGGTTTCAGTCTGAGACTCCATAATTACTTAATGTCTCTTAATTACTTCATCTTCTGAAATATCAGGCATATCTTGATTCAACAATTCCATACATTACTCAGTGCTCACCATGATAAGTGTAGTCACCATCTGTCAACAAACAACATTATTATAATATTACTGACTATATTCTCTGTGCTATACTTTTCATCTCTGGGATATTTCTTTTATAACTGGAAGCTTGTACCTCTTAATCTCCTTTATCCCCCCCTTATCTATTTCACCCACCCACCCCAGCCCCAGTCAGAGAAGGCAAATACTATACGATGTCACTTAAAAGAACTAGTATAAATAAGTAAAAAGAGTATTGGTCGTGTTTACAGTTATTTAATATTTGAAAAAAAATAGATTCAAGGAGTATTTGGAAAAATATGGGATTTTTAAAAAATGCATTAGATTTTTCTACTACTAGAAATTATAACCGCATGCATTTCTTTATTCTCTATGCCTCTGCAACCAATGTTATTTGCTCCCAACTTACCAACTTCAGCTTTCATGCTTAAAGTTTTGGTGTCGTTACCTTGCCTTCGGAGCATGTTTGAAAATAGGCAGTACTATATTCTTTCTAATCTTTAATACTGTTCATTCTTTTGATCTTGTTTGTAGCTTGAATAGAGCTTGTATACCAGAGTAATCTCTACCTACCTTTTTTTGCATCTTCTGTTTTGTAAGTTGATCTTTGTTAGGAGATTTCTAACATCATCAGCATCAGGTGCTATGTTTTCTTTCAGCGATGTCCGGAAGCAGCAGCATCAGGAGCCCACTGGCAGGCGTGTCTGTTAAGTCTCCAAATCAGAGTCTCCGCTTGGGTTTGTCCAGATTAGCACGAGTTAAACCTTTGCATCCAAATGCTGCTAGTAGCTGAGTGTGATAGTAAACACATGTTTGATTAAGAGAATCACAGTTTTACAAGTGTGTTTATGTTTCATGTGTGTTTATATTTAAGGAGGGTATCATAAGATAAAGGAATCCTTTAATGTCCTATAAATTGCCTCTACCCATTCCATGATGATGTTCTCTGAAGCTATTCAAGATTTCAATAAGGGGTTTGTTTATCAGAATTATCTTGTAATGCCCTTTCCTTCTGGAGAATGTGTTCTATTTTTCCTGTGTATAATAAGTCATTGTCATTCAGTGGTTGTCAGTTTGACATGGAGAAAGTCCATGTTGCATGCTATTCTTTCCTAGAAACATGATGCTCCTTTCTAGCTTTGTCTAATTTATGGCACCTTAACTGTAACTATTCAGAGTTTAAAAGGAAACATTCCCACTTTTTCCAGGAGACATTTCTGAAATCTTACTTAAGCTACATTGTCAGTTTAATTGCAAAAATGTTTCATATTTTAGTCAAATACTAAGAATTCAGAATTCATTTACCCATTAAAATGGTTGCTATAATGACTTATGTCGCCTACTCAGAAATAGATGTTTATTGTATAGCAAATAGAATTTCATGACATTTTATGAAGTTCCCATCAAAGCCTTTAATAAAAGTGAAAAAGTTTTGATATGCTCTTTCCTTGAGCCCATTGCACCTGTCTACATTTGTCTACATTTCATTAGGTTGTCTATATTTCATTAGATTAAATGAATCCTTTATGAAAAAAAAAAAAAAAAAAAACTTAGTCTTTTTGTTGTGAATATAAGGGGTGGGGGCTGGAGGGAGCTGTTTCTTCAAATCATCACTTTATGTTAAGCCGGTACCTTAGACGATGGCTGTCAAGTATCTGGTCATCTCTATTATGATATTAGATAATCCAGCTTTTCAGGAAGCTTAGCTCTGAACTTGTTATGAATAAAAGTAGTTATGGATATTTTACATTTTCTGGTGAGAGTTTCAGCCAGCTCCTGATCACTTTTTTTTTTTTTTTTCAACGTTTTTTTAATTTATTTTTGGGACAGAGAGAGACAGAGCATGAACGGGGGAGGGGCAGAGAGAGAGGGAGACACAGAATCGGAAACAGGCTCCAGGCTCCGAGCCACCAGCCCAGAGCCCGACGCGGGGCTCGAACTCACGGACCGCGAGATCGTGACCTGGCTGAAGTCGGACGCCTAACCGACTGCGCCACCCAGGCGCCCCTCCTGATCACTTTTTAATAAAAGCTCTTCAAATCATGTCAACCATTTAAACATGTATAATATTACTAGTTCAGTTTTACATGTTTGTAGAAACATCTATGTTAATGTGAAAATAAGTAATTTAGAATTATGACTGAAGTGAGCATTTGCCTGTTGCTATTATACATTTTTTTTCTTGCATATGTTTTTACACTGTCATGTACCTCCTAACCTACCCCGCGACATCCACTTCTGAAAACATATATTCAGGTACAACATATTGAGATGCATGCTGTCTGGTGCTGTTCAACAGGAAACATTTATTAAGAGCCTGCCATGTATGAGGTACTGATGTCACTGATCAGTCATCCAGAGGCACCAGCGTGATGAACCTGTTTTCTCTGTGTCATTCAGAGTAATAGTTTGTATTGAAAACGACTTTAAATTATGTTTAAACTGGCCTTGCAGACAGCACTAATGGCCTTTCATTGTCAAATGCAGTGTACATTTTTCTTACCTAGTCTTATAGGCCCTATTCATCACATTTTATTTCCTGGTCCCACGTGACACTATTCTCGTATAATTTTCTCCCCACATCTCTGCCTGTTCTTCATTGTTTTTCAGCTTTCCAATGTTTTCTGTCCCCTACACTCACTCTTCCCACCATAATGTCCTATTTTGTGTGATTCCATTCTTTTCCCCTGCCTTTTGTTTTTTTTAAAGCTTAGGTGACTTCAAAGTCCAGTGGTAGACTGTGTCAGGAGTTTTAGCCCAGATCTTGTTCTACACAAGAGCCTACCTAGTCCTTTGATAATTTGATGCAATAAGGCATCACTGGATCAGTAACTTCCCCCTGCCCCCCAGCGTTTCCCGTCCTGTATTTTCTGTTAGTAAGTGGCACCACCATCAACTGGAGGGTCTCAGGCACATCCACCCCTCACACTGGTGACTGAGCTTCTTCCATTCCATAAATTACGCAGAGCTGTCCTCTCTGAAATGTCACTTACTGCTTCTCACAGGCATCCTTGCCTTGATTTTTAACCTCCTCTGGCCTATCCTTCATACCATATTGCCAGAAAGTTTTCTAAAATCTGAGCATGGACATTCAGTTCGCAAGATGTTTCCCATTTGGCTCTTCCCTGCCTGCTTCTTCAACCTGGTCTCCTCCGGACTGTGCCAGCACCTAAGATACCATGTTGTTACCCCTCGCTCTGGGCTTTTACCCTGGCTCTTGTTTGCCTGCTTGACATTGCTAATTCCTATTTGGCCTTGAAGAATCCAGTTCAACTCTGCTCTTTCAAAAAGCTTTTTTTGAATGTTTCCTCTATGAAGCAGACTGTATTCTTCCAGGCCCTGCTACTGTCATTCAACTATAACTTCCCTTAGTTTTCATGCACTTAAAACCTGATGCAGAGCAAATGCTCAAGAAGTGTTCATCTGAATATATTATATCCAGAACTTTTGCTGTGAGCTTCTGGTAACCACAGACTTTTGAAGAGGGAGAAAGTAGGGGTACTTTCAGGAGCCTAGGGCAATTGGGTGAACTCTAATCTCCCCATCCTTGGGATGTCCTTCAACTCTGGGGCGATTGAATTGGAGCAAAGGGAAGAGAGGTGTCCTCTAGGATCTGGTGTGAAAGGTGGTTTGGACCGGTCCAGAGCCCAAGTCCTTTCAGGTCCGGAGTCACAAAAAGAGTGGACAGAGTTTCCCTAGCGACGGGAGGAGGGCGTGGTCCCCGGCCCGCGCGGGCGGGCCTGCGGGCGGGGTGTTGGAGTGAGTGTCCCGCAGCGGCCGCCCGGCAAGTCTGCGCTTGCCCGATGCAGCTCCTCCCACCTTCTGCCCGCGTGGGGACCAAGTAAGGCCGGGGTGGGGGTGGGGGTGGACGCTGGCGGGCCAAAGGCTCTGGGGCTGTGGGGAAAGAATGTGGTGCGGAGCGGGGTCAAGGGAGGTGCAGAGCAGAGAATGCATGTAGTAGAAGTGTGGTCAGAGGAGAGAGAGAGGCTGAGTGTGAGCGCGGACTGGAGGAAAGTGCTCTGAACCGCTCTGTCCTCACAACCCAACGTGGATACAGCTTCCTCCTAACAGAATGTTGCATCGCTGACCTCGGCTGAATGCGTGGTGGAGAGAGGTGGATTTTAGGGAGGTCATAAGACCTCTCCTGAAATCGCTTCCAGCCCTGGCCTCAACAACGTGGGGCACAAAATTTCTTCCCCTTTTATTTATCTTCACGTCCTGGCTGGTCCTCCTGGAGGTCAAAAGTGAGCCCACGACCCCACGCCTCACGTGGACGCCCTAGGATCTGGCTGACACGAGCCTATTCTGACCCTGCACGCCTCCGTGTTCAGCCAGAGCCCAATGCGGGGCGACTCAAAGCGGTGGGTGGATCGTACGTCCAGAGCAACGCTTTCCTTTTGGTGATACTTGCCACTCCAGGGTGATGCTCCTTTTAGCAAATATTTTCCCCAAAAGAGGGATGAAGAATACAAAATTTGGGTTTTTAAAAAATCTGATTTAAGTTGATTTGTGCTACTTGCTACGTTTGAAATGTCCATCAGTCAATTCAGGGCTTAAGTAACTTGTGAACCCTCAGACCTGTTTTAAAATGACTGATGGTCAAAAGTGCAAGGCCATTTATAGAAAGTTCAGACTATGAAAGGACAAATGGGTCCTTTGTTGCCAGTCTTGCTTGAGGGACTTCATCATTTATGTGTGTTGGGTACGTAAAATCGAGGAGTTCTAAGGAATTCTCCAAACCTGGACTCTGCTAATTGGTCTGTTATTTCCCTTGTCTGTTTTAGTCCTTACCGAGAGGGTAATGATAAACCCGAAGGCAGTCTCTAGTAGTGTGCCAGCCATTCTTTGACTTCGCCTTCCCCGACTCCGTACTGTTGTCAGGAACTTGGCTGGAAAGATACTTCTCAAACCTGCCGAGGACCCAGTCCTGGGAGTCATTGGTTTTAGCTGATGCCAAATCCAACATGAGTGTGTTGTGATGGCTAAAAAGGGAAAATACTGGTCTAGGCTTCATTAATAGAAATATAGCAAACAGATGAATGATGTAAAGGTCTTCCTGCCTGAGTTAGCACTGATCAGTCCATAACCTAGACTCTAGAAAACCGTAGCCTCTTAAAGCAAGGTCATCAAAAAACTAGACAGTAGAGAGGAATAGTTACAATATAGGTTCTCTCCATCATGCCTGGATGCTGTATCATATGAAGAGGCGTTTGAAATAAGACTCCAGAATGCCTGGAGATGAGTAGGTTCCAGAGAAGCAAAAGCCACTGTTTTGAATAGTCAAGAACTCTTGAGTAGAAGAGAGGGTAGATGTGTTCTTTGTTGTTCTGCAGAAGATAACAAGTATCGGTGGAGGGTATGTTGTTCAATATCATTTCTTCCAACCAACATTTGCTGGGCACCAATCATATGTATCAGCAGCTGGATGAGAAATGAGTTGCCTGGAAGAACAGTGAGCTCTGTCAGAAATATTCAAGCAGAGACTGAGTGATTGCCAGGGATACCCTAAGGAGGATTTCTCCCAGGCAGGAAATGGATGAATGGCCTCTAAAATCCCTTCCAGCTGTGAGAGTCCACAGACCATGAAGGGTTTCAAGGATAATTGCAAAGGGACCCAAGGAGTTCTCTTTGCAGAAGTGACAGTAAGTTAAATGCATTAAATACATTGTCTCTTGTTCACAGAAATGCAAAGGGAGTCCCTGCAAAGTTCTTCACTGCCACAATTTCTGCCCCAAAGGTAGCTCTCCAGGGCATAAAGAACTAGCTACTGAACAGCTACAGTAAAAATACTAAAACCATACCAGGTAAATCTCAAAAGATATATATCCTTTCTGGGCATCGAAGATTGGTGTACATAGATAATGCATTATGTATAAAATACTGTGTCTGCAGTCCACTGTTTATGGGTCTGTCATGCCCACAAGACTGAACTCCATGAAAGCAAGGATTCTGTTCTATTTATCTCTCAATCCCCCATGCTTAGCACAGTTTCTGACATTCAGATGGTGATTTCAAATTTTTTTGATGAATTAATCTAAACTGTCTTAGATTTCTCTTTCTTCAGAACATTTGTACAAAGGCCTTTCAGTAGACAAGTCATTGTCCATGCCCCTATGAAAAATATAAAAAATAAAATAAAGTAAAATAAAACAAAATCCAAGTTCATCATTCCTGCCCCCAAGAGATTCACAATCAAGATGAGATGAAGTGTCTACCCCTAAAATAATTAACAATAAAGTTGTTGATCAAGTAACACAAGCAAAAATGCTGAAATCCAGAGGAAAGAGATGGGTATATAAGCTGGAGAGGTAGGGAAACTGATCTTCATGTAAAATAATAGGAGTAATTTTTAAGTCTTAGTTTCAGTTTTCAAAGCAATATTTACTCTAGCTCTGAGATGAATTTATTTGTTTTCTCTAATCCTTCATGCAACAGTTATAAACAAGCTATAAAACATACTCTACATAGTTCACCACTTATTTTGAGGATAAAACGTGGTATTTGTGAAGCTTTGAGTGTGGACTAAGTGTCATGGATTAAATGGAAGTTAGATTGAATGCATTCTTAGGGGAAAAATGGCACAAAATAGTCTTTGAGAACCACAGAATTATCCAAAGTCACAATAGAATTTTTCCCCCAATGTGACAATATTTAATAAAGTTAGAATCAAAGAAGCTTAGAACTGAAAGGGACATCAGAAGTCATCTGGTCCAGTTTTACAAATCTTACAAATGGGGAAACTGAGTCTCGAGAAGGCACATGACTTGCTTAGAATCTGTCTGGGGGCAGCACTGAGATGAGACTCCAAGATCCCTCAGCATCTTCTTCAGGTCTTTGTGTAGCCTTCACCGACAGGGCACCTGAAGCTGAAATGAAGAAAAAGCTCCACTTGCCAGGAAAGAGGCACGTGGACTTGTATGGTGTCCCACATCCTTGGGAAGTAGATGGAGGGAACATTTGATACAGAGCCCTGGCAGAAAGAATTATATTCATTCTTCCCCAGTGTTCAGATTTTACAACCTCCACATCAGATTGATGGCCCAAATTCTACCGGTTCTGTCCCCCAAATTATCCCAGGTTCCCACTTGCACTCTGTCCTACTATCATTGCCTTGGTTGAGGCCCGCATCATGTCTTGCGTTAGATGCTCCAGACAGCTTCCTACTTGAGCTCCTCCAAACCTTGCTCCATGGCATTGCCAGAGAGATGATCCTAAAGTACAAGTCTGATTTTTTCAGGCTTAGAATAAACCATGCGACCCTTTCTTTACAGTCTAACCAGCTCTCTGGTCCTCCACCAGCAATGTCCATGTACTCACACTTTCTGGAGAAGGCACTGCTCTTTCATACTTTTTGTGCCTACACAGTCTTCTCCAACTGCCCTCGACTCCATTCCTGTCCTGTTTATTCCGCAAGGACAATTCTACTCTGCTTAAGTGCAGAGGCTTCCTCAGCTCTTCCAACAGACGTTAGTCATCCCTGGAAGTGTGCTCCACTAGCTCTTTGCACAGGCCTCTATTAATGCCATGATCACGTGCATTGTAATGATCATGTACGTTGTAATGTCCATGTGTCTCCCCTCCTAGATTACAAACTCTCCTTGAGGGCAGAGGCCATGTCTGGTTTGTCAGAGGAATTATCTCAGCAATGTTTGTAGAAATGAAAGAAGGAAGGGAAGAAAGAAGGGACATTATGATCATTTGAAGAGAAGCAACTATTACTTTTTGTTTGCTTTTGCATAGGACTTTTAAATCAATCAATTAATTAATTACATGCAAGTTAGTTAGCATATAGTGCAATAATGGTTTCAGGAGTAGATTCCAGTGATTCATCCCCTATGTATAACACCCAGTGCTCACACCAACAAGTGTCTTCCTTAATGCCCCTTACCCATTTAGCCATTCCCCCCACCCCCAACCCCTCCAGGAACACTCAGTTTGTTCTCTGTATTTAAGAGTCTGTTATGTTATGTCCCCCTCCTTGTTTTTATATTATTTTTGCTTCCCTTCCCTTATGTTCATCTGTTTTGTATCTTAAAGTCCTCATATGAGTGAAGTCATATGATATCTGTCTTTCTCTGACTAATTTTGCTTAGCATAATATCCTCTAGTTCTATCCAAATGGCAAGATTTCATTCTTTTTGATTTGATCTAGTTGCAAATGGCAAGATTTCATTCTTTTTGATTGCTGAGTAATACTCCATTGTGTATATATATATGCCACATCTTCTTTATCGCTTCATCCATCGATGGACATTTGGGCTCTTTCCATACTTTGGCTATTGTCGATAGTGCTGCTATAAACATTGGGGTACCTGTGCCCCTTCAAAATAGCACACCTGTATCGCTTAGGTAAATACCTAGTAGTGCAATTGCTGGGTCATAGGGTAGTTCTATTTTTAATTTTTTGAGGAGCCTCCATACTGTTTGCATAGGGCTTTATTTATTTATTTATTTATTTATTTATTTATTTAATTTATTGGCAAATTGGTTTCCATACAACACCCAGTGCTCATCCCAACAAGTGCCCTCCTCAGTGCCCGTCACCCACTTTCCCCTCTCCCCCATCCCCCATCAACCCTTAGTTTGTTCTCAGTATCCAAGAATCTCTTATGGTTTGCCTCCCTCCCTCTCTGTACCTTTCTCTCCCCCTTTTCCTCCCCCATGGTCTTCTGTTAAATTTCTCAAGATCCACATATGAGTGAAAACATATATAGTATCTGTCTTTCTCTCACTGACTTATTTCACTTAGCATAACACTCTCCAGTTCCATCCATGTTGCTGCAAATGGCCAGATTTCATTCTTTCTCATTACCAATTAGTATTCCATTGTATATATAAACCACATCTTCTTTATCCATTCGTCAGTTGGTGGACATTTAGGCTCTTTCCATAATTTGGCTATTGTTGGAAGTGCCACTATAAACATGGGGGCACAAAACAGGAACCCTCTTGCACTGTTGGGGGGAAGGACTTTTTTTATAGTGTGTGTGTGTGTGTGTGTGTGTGTGTGTGTTAAAATTAAAGTCCCCACTCCCCTCTCTCAGCTCTGTCCCTCAAAGGTAATTAACTTTATGGTTTAATTATCTATATTCCTCAATGTGCCTGTGTAAAGTCATGCAGACATCTTGGTTTTCCTTAAATAAATATGGAATCATTCATATTATTCTGTTTTATTCAATATATTACAGGCATACATAGAAATTTGCTTCATTTTTTAAATGATCGCATCATAGTCTATAATACATATTGCTGCATTTTTAAACTTCTCCTTATATAGAGACAAGTAATTTCTGATTTTCCAACATTATGCTGCAAGAACAGTGGACGTGACTTGTCTTCAGTCCTCTGAATAATTTCAAAATTGTGATGCTGTCAGTATTATAGTGTCTGTAAGAACCTAAACAATGGAATGGTAGGCAGAAGCCAGGATAACATTTGCACTGATTCCCTTTCTGTCCTTATTCATATATTCCCGATTCCCTTGGCTCTTGCTAGAGTTGGAGGCTGACAAGGGACTTCCAAGGGACACAAAGCAGAGTTCCAGCATCCATCTGCTTGTGGAACAGGTGTGTAGCAGTGGCATGAGAGCCTCTAAGACTCTTCCATTCACATAAATCACCACTTTGACTAGATGCCATAAACTTAAGTTGAATTAGTTCTTCCTCTTGCAGCGAGTTCATTATTCATGGAGCTGTGCCCTGAGTAAAGAAGGTGCAAAAATGGCTAAATGAGATCCAGGGAAAGCATTTCTACCAATTGTCCTTTTTTTCTCTTTCTATAGGCATTCAGCTACCAAGTAACTGCTAATGTATGTATCTTTCAGAGTGTAAGGTGTGTGTGGCAAGAGAATGTTTTGCTTTGCAGTGAGCTAGAGGAAATGGGTCTTTTTGTTTGGTGTCCTAAACTGCTGGCCACATTATTAGCTCATCTTTCTTCCTTGGCTGCCGTCTCCCTCTGCTCTGAGCACCCAAAGTCTCATGCCAAGACGCCCCCTCTCCTGACATCATCAGTCACCAGAAGGGAAACAAAAGGAGTAACAGAGACTCAGTCACTGTTTCAGGCCCGCCACCTACTTCTGTCTCCAAGCCTGCCCTGTGTTCTTCCCGCCTTGGGTGTTGGGGCCGTTACCGACACTTTGCTCCTACTGCCAATTTTCTTTCTACCCTTCCTCCTGTAGGACTACAATGGATGCTCAAAAGCCAAGGAAATGCAGTTTAACATCCTTCCCGGTTTTGAAAACAAGAAAGAAACAGGATGTCAACCCTGTGAAGGTAAAGATCCTTGAATTTCATTTGGGGAGTAGGGGTATCATTATGAAGACTTGGGGACCCTGGACCCAGTGGTGACCACTGTGCCCCAAGCACCTCTGATGACAGTGTGAGGGGAAGGGAACTGTGGGGGGACCAGGCTGGTTGGTAGAGCCAGGTCTGGGCGGGCTTGGAGGGAAATTGGCTACAGGGCCAGAGTGTAGTGTCATGAACTCCAGAACTGCAGGGCCTTCATCGAACAGGTAGCCTGAGGCTATGTCTCTTCTACAGTGTCTTGTATTGCGCTCCGTATTTCTGGAACCACACTAGAAGTGTCCCAGAATGTTCCAAACATGTATGCAAGAAATTTCCAGAAAACGTCTGTGTGTGTGTGTGTGTGTGTGTGTGTGTGTGTGTGTGTGTGTGTTCCCTAACACAGACATGGTGCCTTCCTTTTTACCTCAAAACTAGTAAAATGCCACAGCACTGAAGGTAATTTTGTGATGTGGTGACTTTGTGATCACAAGATCTACTTCTAAATCAGGCGTACTTTTTCATCTAATGCCCTCAGTTTGAATTTCACACTTTCCTCAAAAGATCGTATTATTTGGGGTCCTTGCTCTGAAAATTCTGTGGCAAACTTGAGTCCGGGGCATTAGGTTTGACCTTGAGTCCTGCTGGTGTCAATGCTTTGAAGAACTGGAGTTCAGCAGCCTATCTGAGGCCTGGTGAAAGTTTTCCTCCCTGTAGATCACACACCACCTCCTTAAAATTATGACTATTAGGTCACCTCCTCCAAGCAGTGTTGCTGATTTAACCCTGGCCTTCTCCCCCTCAGGGTTATAACTCATAAAAATGAATCCTGATGTCCGTTGTTCCCCATCCCTATCCCTGCCATTATCACATACAACAAAACCATTATTTTATAATTCATAGGTACAAAAATTTATTAATACCTAAAACATTTCTTTTGACAAAGCAAAAATTAATATTTAATTTAAAATAGTAAATCTACATCAAACAGGATAATAAAGACAACATTCTGTTCACATTTAAAACTATTATACAAACAAAATGGTCTTGGTCATGACTTAGAAAAATCACCATGAGTTTTGCAACTTAACATTTGTTTTAATCTGCTTGAGCTCCTGTTTACTGAGTGCTTGGATGACTCTCACATGAATCTTAGAGGCAAGTACAATTATTATCCCGATTTCTGAGATTCAAGTGAAGTTAATTAGCCATGGCCATAAACCATTGAGTGGCAGATGGAATTCAAATCCATATTCTTTTTTTTAATGTTTATTTATTTTGAGAGAGACAGAGCATGAGTGGGGGAAGGGCAGAGAGAGAGAGGGAGAGAGAGAATCCCAAGCAGGCTCCAGGCTACCAGTTTGGAGTCCAGTGTGGCTCTTGAACTCACAAACTGTGAGATCATGACCTGAGTCAAAGTTGGACCCTTAATCCACCGAGCCACCCAGAGCCCCAAACCCATATTCTTAACCACTCTATTCATTGCCTCTTTGCTGAGTCAGGTCAACTCTGTTAAATGTTGTCCTATAAAATTCCTTCATATATTTATATTAATTTTACGGAAAACCTATTCTGCTATAGTTGCCACAACAAGAATTGTCAAAAAAAATTTAAAAATCATGCTGAATAAAAATTCATTTATGTTGTATTTTTTGTAACTGCCAGCAATTGACAATACCATTTAGAAATACTGTCTAGGGGCACCTGGGTGGCTCAGTCGGTTAAGTGTCCAACTCTTGATCTCAGCTCAGATCTTGATCTCAGGGTCATATAAGTTCAAGCCCTACATTGAGCTCCATGTTGGGCTCTGCGCTGGGCATGAAGCCTACTTTAAAAAAAATCAATAATAAAAAATACCATCTAAACTTATAACTATTGTCTTTACATTGGTAATTATTCTTATGGGCCATAAATAAATGTCATTTCACCATCTGTTCATTTCCCCCAATGGACTTCTTATCCAGTTGAGCTGAATAGGCTTAAGTAAGGAAATGAAAACAAGTCAATAACCATCCACAGCATGTGAAATCTTGGGTTTCAGTGGATAATCATATTAATTGGAGGATGAAAAGAAGGAATTATAATCTCTTGACCTAAAAACACATGGAAGATGAGAAGAGTGCTCTGAATCTCAGCCTATCAACTGCCCCAAGCAAGTGTTGGAAAAAATATTTTGAATTTTTGAATGAATTGATAATAATGTATATTTTTCACAATATTTAATCTTCTAAGTTATAACTATAATATTTATAAAAATAATTAAATATTTATTTTAAATATGGATCTTGGTAGTATCTCAGCTAAGGGAGTTTTTTTTTTTTTTAGTTTATTTATTTTGAGAGAGAGAGCATGAGTGAGAAAGCAGGGAAGGGACAGAGAGAGAGAGAGAGAGAGAGAATCTGCAGTCAGCACAGAGCCTGATGCAAGGCTCAAACTCACGAACCTTTTGAGATCATAATCGAAACCAAGAGTCGAGCGCTTAACGGACTGAGCCACCCAGGTGCCCCAGCTAAGAGAGTTTTAAAATGTTGTTTTTAATAATTGATTTCACCTGGATTTAAGACAACAGGGTGATCGTTGGATAGTAATGTAGGATGCTTTAAAAAATGCCCCCATTCATTTGACTAAATATTAAAAAGCCATCTGCCACAGAGAGATCTCTGCAGGAAGTCATTTGCCTTGGATGCCTGTGGAGAGTCCCTGTCCTCTCCACTTAGCTGGCAAAGGTCCCAGGGCTCTCACAGTGGCTCCCAATGACACAGGATCTCTCCGCACTTGAGGAAAATGCTCCTGTATTATAGTTTGTCCTGACTGCTAGCAGAGGGAACATCCTCTCTTCTGGACCACAGTTATCTCAGCTAGTAGGTTGGATGATATCTGGCTCTTCCGTAACTCTGTTCATAGAAAACGTGTTGCCTAACGGCCAGCTTCTGGGCCTGGAGGACCTAGCAGCACTCCGGGGTCTCTCTTAGACCATTTAGGAGTAGAACCTGGGAGAAGTCTGGGGAAGGGAACTCTGTTAATATAGAGTGTTACTTTACAGCTTTTCTGACAGTTGATGAATTGGAGCTACAAAGGACTTCCTAACTAAGCCCTCTAAAGATACATTTTCTATTTTCAGCACTGGAAGAACAGGTTCTGTTATTTATCCTCTATCCTTCCAGTCACTTGATTTCTGAGTACCACCTCCTTAGATAAGCCTTTCTCAACACCCTTTCTAATTGTATTCTGTATTTGTTTGTGTACTTGTTTACTGTCTGCCTTGCCCTGTGGAACTACACTGACCAATAGTGCAGCCACTGGCCATGTAAGGCTACGGAGCCCTTGACATGGGTCTTGTCCAATTGGAGGTATGCTGCCATTGTGAACGATACACACCATGTTTCACAGACTTGGTGTGAGGAAATGAATGTAAAGTAACTTACTGATAACTTTTTATAATTGGGTGGGTTTTGTAGCATGTTAACACCTTGATAACACTGTAAAAATTTTTATACTGATTACATGTTAAGGTAGTGTTCTGCAAATGATGTGTCAAATAAAATACATAACAATTAATTTCACCTGTTTCTTTTTATTTTTTTAAATGTGGCTACCAGAAAATTTAAAATTTCACACGTGGCTTGCATGATGTTTCTATTGAATAGTGCTGTTCTCGAACAGAAGTGCCGTAACAGCATAGACATTGTTTGTCTGGTTCAGTGCTAAATTCCTGGAACCTAGGACAGTGCCTCACACAGATTAAAACTCAATGTGTACTTGTGGAATAGAAACCAGGAAAGTGTTTATTTATTTTTTCTCTCTACAATTATTTATGGAGTGCCTACTCATTCCAGGCACTGTTCTAGGTGCTGGGGATGTGGAGAACAAAACAGATCAAAACAAAACAAAACAAAACAAAAAAACAAAACAATCCCATCTCTCCTGAAGCTTAAAATTGGAATTCTTTATAGAAAGGTCAGATGTTGCAGGTTAATGCCAAGAATGGTACAGACCAGCCCTTATTTTCCTCATCAGTGAGAGCTGAGATGGAATTAGACCAGTGGTTCTCAATGTTGATTGGATATTTAAAATCACTTGGGAAAGGTTTTTTTTTTTTTAATTTTTTTTAACGTTTATTTATTTTTGAGACAGAGAGAGACAGAGCATGAATGGGGGAGGGACAGAGAGAGAGGGAGACACAGAATCGGAAGCAGGCTCCAGGCTCCAAGCCATCAGCCCAGAGCCTGACGCGGGGCTCGAACTCACGGACCGCAAGATCGTGACCTGAGCTGAAGTCGGATGCTCAACCGACTGAGCCGCCCAGGAGCCCCACTTGGGAAAGGTTTTAAAGGCCACTGAAATCAGAATCTCTTGGGATCATGAACACTTTTTTTTTTAAAGTTCTTTTCTATCATGTGGGGACAGATGTCTATTTAGACACCAGCTATGAGACCTTGGTTAGATTGTTAAGGCTCTTTCTTGGTTGTGAAACTTGGTATAGTTATTCCTACAAACCCCCTCTCCCGTTGCGGTGGAAATTAATGAGATAAGAGGATGAGCTTGCCGGCGGAGGGCCATTCAGTATTGATTTCTTTTACCTTCCCTCCTCTTCATTGAACAGAAAGGGGTTTCATGTAGCAGACAGACTTAGTAATGAGTCTTCCACAGTGAAAAAAGATCTGAGGGTTTACACCATCTCATTTCTTTATTGGTGCTCCATAGGAAAAACAAGCATTCTGACCATTGGGTATTGCAAAGAAACAGAAGTCACAGTCAATTATAGCTGAAGAGAGAAAGAAAGCCAACACATCCATTCCCAAAGGAGAGTGCTTACTTACTTTTTCCCATTTTCTCATTGGGACCCATGCTTCCTTCTGAGATCTACATAATAAGTACCAGTTCCTTTGTTTTGCATTCCCATTGGTGCTCTTGGTTTGGAGAGAGAAAGACTGCAGATTGCCTTCTGTTGCTGTGACAAGGAAGTGAAACAGACAGACATGGAGAGTTTC